ATGTGTTACGAGCAGCTCATTGCGACGGTGTGCTCTGTATTGGAGCACCCACTTTATTCGAGTTCATTAGACGGAATCAGCAAATGAGAATGGAATTCAAATCATTTTTATTGGATATTGACGCAAGAATGGTTGGTTTTTGCATTTATTGGTATTCAGTGATTTAATTTCTGGTTGATTTTCGAAGAAAATTCGATGCGAAGTTGATAGTTAAACAATGAAAAATGAAAATAACTTCTGTTATGAAATTCTTGTCCACCTAAGAAATGAGCACAAACGCCTCCGTAAGTAGCTCCATACGGTACCAAATTTCTTCGTCCGGGATGCGTAATTGGTCACAGGGTGCTTTAGGTTCGAATACTCTAACTGATCAAGATCTCATATCTCCGTTGTTGGGGAAAACGATGATAATGATAACTTCATATTAGCATCTTTCAGATGCCCTTCTATCTCTCCAAGCAGTTTGCTCAATTCAGCATGTTGACGGGTCATTTCTACGATTCAAATTCCACGAAAAAGCTTGAATCATTCTTAAAATCGGTGAAAAATCTTATTATTGTTTGTGATCCACCATTTGGCATTATGGTTGAAGCGCTCTTCAGAACAATTCGTCAACTCAAAGACAAATTCCTTGATGTCCATCAAAAGTTAGTGGAATCCGTTAGAATCGGCTGAAATTCCAAAAATATTATGCAGTGTTTCAGACACACCAAAGTTGCAGTTTCAAAAATTTCGACGATACTCAGTTGTATCGTTATGTTTCAGAGAATCGTATCGCATCAATTTGATTCTCGTAATGCCGTTGTTCGTTGGAAAACATGTGAAAGAATGTGATGATAGTATGGAGATGGTCGATTATAAAGTGATTTCTTTGAATGATTACTATTCTTCGTCTTTTTCTGATCATTATCATCATTTTATCTATCACTGTCGATGGAAAAGTTCAGTGATACTGTTATCCGCTATGATTTTTTATGCAAAAGAACTTTTTTCAAAGCGTTTCATCAGATCGCAACGAACTAGCGATCAAGCGAGCGATCAGAATAGCTTTATGAACAAGAAATTTTCATATTGTCATGGAGTCATGAGAAGTAACTTCAGACATCTTAAGTTGATCGATAAGTATTGTTCAGATTTGCTATGTGAATCATTCCAAATATGCAAAACCACAAAAATCCATTGTACGATTCTTCACTGATCTACCACTCAAACAATTCGTGTTACCAGCGGAATCTGGCTATCGGTTTGAATTTATGATTGTGATCTCGAGATTGTGTTCTCATTTTCGTTCAGATAATACTGATTTGTATCAATATGTTCAAATTTTAAAGCATTCTCATGTCACAGTAGTGATTTATAGTTCCTAATGATTTGTTCTGCAGATTCTGTGAAATGTGCGAGCGATATGTGGCGAATGAAAATCGCCACTGTGGTCTATGCGGTATATGCCCATCGAAGGTGCTTTTTTTGATTAAGAAATCTTTTTTCGTTATTTCATAGGGAAATGTTTATAATAGGATATCACTTCCGTTTGCGATAAAAGTGAAAATTCTTAGCTTTTAGCTGGACTTGACAAATAATTTTGAAAAAACCTTAAATTTATCAAAATATTCATCTGTCAGCTGATAATGAGGAAAGAGATTTTGCAGAGGTGAGTAGAGAGTGATCCGGGATCAGTTTCTATTGTCGAATAAATATTCCGGAGGATTTTTCAGGATGGAACGTCATATCGGCATTGTGCACGATGTAATCGCTGTGTGAAATGCAAATATCTGCATTGTTCAAAATGTGGACGGTGTCATTTGGCTGGGAGATGCTTAGAAACTTGATCTGAATGACTATTAGCTGGTATTCCAGTGATCCCTATCAAATAAATCGGATGAACGCAAGCAAAGTCGGCAAGAAAATGAAATCATGCTGTGCACTCATGTTATTGTTGGAGTGTTGATAAAAAGACAAAATTCATCAAAATTTATTCCTCACAAATCACCTTCACTATACGTTTGCGGCACATAC